ACAGTGTTTCGATGCTCCTGAGTGTGAACGTGCCCTTCAGTGAAGGTGCCTCTTTGCGTGTTTCCTTCCTGCTTAAAGTTTTTTTTATTCAAAATATTTGTGAGTATTTGTGAATATAGTTTACAAAGAAAAAAGAAAGACGGAGAACACAAACTGTTTACAATGAATACAAAACAGAACTTCTCATGTTGGAACATTGTTTTCCTCTCTTATTATTTACCAAACAAGCAACGAGGAAAAAAAAAACAGAAAAAAAAACAAAACAAAAAGAGACAAAAAAAAAAATGAAAACAACACCCCCCAAAACAAAATAACAAAAGCCACAACCCGGAGGGATTATGATATTAACTAGCCCTTTCCATAAGAACCACACAGAAGTTAGCTACAACATCACTGAGCTTCACGTTCCCGTTAACACAAACAGACATCAGACCACTATGGAGAAGCAAATCCATTAGTCAGCTGGAACATCCTTAAGTTGAAGTTTAGAGAAGTTTTCCAGAAAGAGACCCCAAATTTTATCAAATGTATCCTTTTGGTTCTGGATGGAGCAGTGGATCTTTTCCAGACTGAGGCATGACATGAGATCAGCAAGCCACTGAACATGGGAGGGCGGGGCAACAGTCTTCCACCTTATCAAAATGGCACGCCTAGCTAGGAGGGCTTCCTGCTTAAAGTTTACTTTCACTTCCTGAACTTCGTGTTTCTGACATCTCCATGTGAAGCTTCGTGTGAAGGTAATGGAAGCAATCCTTAATGTTTTCCTGGCTAACAACAGCAGACTGTTAAACTTCTTCTTCCTTTTTGTTATTGTGTGCATTGGATTAAACATTTCTTTCTACTGTGCCTCTATCTATAGCCTGTATACAAAAGATTGTTGCAGACACCAGGTTCATAGTTTAGTTTGTATGTAAGTATTAAGTTGAGTGCTTTGTCTTCAGTTTCTGCTGTTGTTTAGACATTGTTATTGTTTCTGGGTTTTAAGGAAAAAATACTTCACAGAGAGTCAGTTTAAATATTATGAATGATGATCTGAAGAAAAATAACAGTGAAGACGTTTCAGTTCTCAGCACAGGGTGGAGTTTGTAGTTTAGCATGCATTTTAGATTGAGTTAGCAGCTCTGTAGACTGACAGTTTTATTTCTGGACTCATGTAAAAAGTTTTGCTGATGGTTTCTGTTGTCTAAAAGGTGATACTGCTCACAGATAAATAAAATGTGTAGAGATACAGGGGCACATTCACCCCTCCTCCTGGGGGAGCCCCTGGATCTGGGAAAGTACAAGGATACAAAGAGAAGAAAATAAGTCTTTTCTGGAGCTAGGAAGGAATCTACTTCAGTTTTTTTTTCAACTCAAGCATAAGTTCCAGTAAAGTCAATATTTGAAAGATCAGAAATGAAAATATCTAAACTGCCATGTGTCAAATGGACAGAATTAAGACCTCTGAACAAAGCAGGAAGAAGAGAATGGCCTGAAGTTTCTCTGGTCTATAATTCGCCTCATCCTGGTCTGTGTGACATAAACGCTAAACCGCTAACAGAAACATAGCTGTGATGATGAGACATGCTAGAGTTTGATGAAACCACTTCCTCTTCTAACACACTCAGCCATGCAGAGACAGCTTTGCTCTCAGTTTGTGGGTTTGCAGGTTTAGATCTGATTCAGACTTCCTGTCCAACATGTTTAGACCTGAATAAAAGTTACTTTCTACACAGCAAAATCTCCAGTGTTAAATTAACACTGGAGAGTGTCTATATGGGTCCACACCTCTGAGTGTTAAATACAACACTGTTGAGTGTTAAATTAACACTTTTGACAGTGTTATATGTTTAAAAGTAACCTAGTCAGTTTTGAAGATTAACAATGACTAACACTGAGCAGTGCTGATTTTCTAACACTGGAAAATAACTCAAAATGTTAGAAATATTTATATTTATATAAATAAATATATATTATATAAATATATTTATCCTCATTTATCGAGGATACTTTTTAAAATTAAACTTAAACAACACTGATGATGCTTGTGTATTCTCTGTAACACCTGGCACTGATTATTTAAAAATTATTTTAATTTTCACAATAACCACTGAATGTCTCAGACTATCACCATTTAATGTGAGTGTGTTTACTGAATCATGATTGCGTTTGATGTCCAGTTATATTTTTCAGATCGGTGTCAGAAACAAATTATTCAGGTACACGCGTGCTAATATGATCAACCAGTCTTATTGATCATATTAGCAATTCAGTTTTATTTATGTAGTGTCAAATCACAAAAACAGGTCCCTGATGTATGTATGTATGTATATATATGTATGTATATATATATATATATATATATATATATATATATATATATATATAATTCAATTCATTTCAATTCAATTTTATTTAAATAGCGCCAAATCACAACAAAAGTCGCCTCAAGGCGCTTCATAGATACAGAGAAAAACCCAACAATCATATGACCCCCTATGAGCAAGCACTTTGGCAACAGTGGGAAGGAAAAACTCCCTTTTAACAGGAAGAAACCTCCGGCAGAACCAGGCTCAGGGAGGGGCGGCCATCTGCTGCGACCGGTTGGGGTGAGAGAAGGAAGACAGGATAAAAGACATGCTGTGGAGGAGAGACAGAGGTTAATAACAGATATGATTCAATGCAGAGAGGTCTGTTAATACATAGTGAGTGAGAAAGGTGACTGGAAAGGAAAACTCAATGCATCATGGGAATCCCCCGGCAGCCTACGTCTATTGCAGCATAACTAAGGGAGGATTCAGGATCAGCTGGTCCAGCCCTAACTATATGCTTTAGCAAAAAGGAAAGTTTTAAGCCTAATCTTGAAAGTAGAGATAGTGTCTGTCTCCCGAATCCAAACTGGAAGCTGGTTCCACAGAAGAGGGGCCTGAAAACTGAAGGCTCTGCCTCCCCTTCTACTTTTAAATACTCTAGGAACAACAAGTAGGCCTGCAGAGCGAAGTGCTCTAATAGGGTGATATGGTACTACAAGGTCATTAAGATAAGATGGGGCCTGATTATTTAAGACCTTGTATGTGAGGAGCAGGATTTTGAATTCAATTCTGGATTTAACAGGAAGCCAATGAAGGGAAGCCAAAACAGGAGAAATATGCTCTCTCTTTCTAGTCCCTGTCAGTACTCTTGCTGCAGCATTTTGGATTAGCTGAAGGCTTTTCAGTGAGTTTTTTGGACATCCTGATAATAATGAATTACAGTAGTCCAGCCTGGAAGTAATAAATGCATGAACTAGTTTTTCAGTGTCACTCTGAGACAGGATATTTCTAATTTTAGAGATGTTGCGCAAATGGAAGAAAGCAGTCTTACATATTTGTTTAATATGTGCTTTGAAGGACATGTCCTGGTCAAAAATGACTCCAAGGTTCCTCACAGTGTTACTGGAGGCCAAGGTAATGCCATCCAGAGTAAAAATCTGGTTAGATACCATATTTCTAAGATTGCCAGGGCCGAGTACAATAACCCCAATTTTATCTGAATTAAGAAGCAGAAAGTTAGAGGTCATCCAGGTCTTTATGTCTTTAAGACATTCCTGCAGTTTAACTAATTGGTGTGTGTTATCTGGCTTCATGGACAGATAGAGCTGCGTGTCATCTGCATAGCAGTGAAAATGTATGCTATGTCTTCTAATGATGCTGCCTAAGGGAAGCATGTATAATGTAAACAGAATTGGTCCTAGCACTGAACCCTGTGGAACTCCATAATTAACCTCAGTGTGAAGAGGACTCTCCATTTACATGAACAAATTTGGAGTCTATTAGATAGATATGATACAAACCACTGCAGTGCAGTACCTGTAATACCTACAGCATGTTCTAATTGCTCTAATAGGATATTATGGTCAACAGTATCGAATGCTGCACTAAGGTCTAGCAGGACAAGCACATAGTCCACTGTCAGAGGCCATAAGAAGATCATTTGTAACCTTCACTAAAGCTGTTTCTGTGCTGTGATGAGCTCTGAAACCTGACTGAAACTCTTCAAATAAACCATTCCTCTGCAGATGATCTGTTAGCTGTTTGACAACTACTCGTTTAAGGATTTTTGATATGAAAGGAAAGTTGGAGATTGGCCTATAATTAGCTAAGACTGCTGGGTCTAGAGATGGCTAAATGGCTATTTTATATATGTATGCATATATATATATATATATATATATATATATATATATATATATATAATAAAGACCCTACAATAATACAAACGAAACAAAGAAAATCCAACAATCATTTCACTGAATCTATTTATTTTCATCACAACATTTATTTGTAGTGTTACCTGCAGACATGCATTTACTATGATCTGGGAATTTGGAGGGTGAAATCATCTCTCTGTGACATTCTTGTAGTAAACTGATGAAATCTGTTTGTGACAGAGCTAACTGTCTGGCTGTGGACTCTCAGTTATGACAGGAAACAGTGTACAGTGAACATTTATACTGTGAAATTTACTTTTTTATCCTAATAACATGTTACTGTCATAATTATATTTGTTTGATATATTCATTTATTTATTTTATAATTAATAACATAATGTTGATTAACTCCGATCGAAGAGGCCCCGACGGACTCGAGGGTCAACACTGCATGTTGCTGTTAGTATCCACTTATTGATATGTGACAGCAGATATTTCATATTATCTTGACTCAGATGGAGTGGATGTTAGTCCAACACATCAGACATGACCTCTGCAGCTCTCAGTTGATTTGGACATGAATGCTTTGTGTTTCCTCCGCAGGTGAAGTTAGAAAGTGCGTGTGAGCTCATGTGGATGTGAATTCAGCGGCATGGATCAGTGTGAGGACAGAGAGGAGGGAGTCCCTCCCTCTAAAACCACTCTGTGTGGGGAACATGAGAATCAGACCAAAGCTCAGAGGTGAGATGATCATCTCTAACTGTCCATGACTCTTCTGCATGTCACAGCTCAGCACTCACATCATTGCACCATCATTATTCACAGGAACCAACCTGGACCTGAACCCAGCTGTGTGTCATTAAAGAGTGACCAGTCTAAAGCTGACATGATTGGTTTTAATGTCCAGCCTCTGTCTGCTGCAGAGAGGTGAGCTGTTAGTAACATGAACTCTTTGATTAAACTGCTTGATGTTGTTTGATATAAACTGCAGTGCAAACGCATCATTCCCTCAGTCCCATTTAAACTGTCTCTTTAAAACAAGCCATTGTTTTTTAAACAACTGAAAATCCACTAATGTAGGGGAGAGCAGTGTGTCATGGCATTTGAGATGAATCCTCATCAATTTGCAAATTCTTATCACATTTTAATGACCACTACATCACTGCTATTTTTGCTTTCCACAAAAGTTAACAGAACAAAATTTATATTTACAGTTTTCATGTATTCTGAAACTGGGTTTTTTTGGACCTGGAATGTAAATGTAGGCCTACTTGTCTCTAAAGGCCTTTTACTTAACTTTGGTTGTTTAAATGTACTCTGGGCAATATGTAACACGACAGAAACAAAACATCAATCCTGTCACACTGGTATAAACCTAATACCAATTCCAGGGTTGGTATCAATATTATTTATATTTGGATTGATCCACCAACTTCTATCATGCTCATGTTTTCTTCCATCAGTCATGTTGTGCTTTATGTTGTGGGAAGTTAGAGGAGGTAACACTAACTTTGCTGCACAAATTTCACTTTCACTCATTTTTGATGCTATGAGTTTTATAACTCAAACACTGGTTATTATTTTTAACTTAAAAACCCCCCACAATTCTCCACTTTTCTGAAAACCCATCACATAAAAATCAAAATATAATCTGCTAAAATGTAGAAAACAAAGTTTCTTCTCTGACTTTGTGCCTGTTGGAGATCAGTTCATCTTCTGCTCACTGAACTGCTGTCAGAAACAGTAATTTTTAGTTTTTCCAAGTAAATGTAAGCTTCAAGCATCCATCTGTCCACACAGGCTGTGCTGTTTGACTTGCTGAGTTGAGTTACCTGGTGGGTGCAGCAGAGACCGGCATCACTCTGACTCTCACTCGGTTTGTGTGCTGTCCCTGGTTTGGCCCTTGTTGTGATGATGAAGTCCACTGCAGATAAACAGGTCAACGTTTGCCAAACTTTTAAGGTGGGCAGGAAACTGAGAAAGTTCTAGAGTAAGATAGCCGACGTTTCAAACAGCTGTCAAAGGCACCATGTGGTAGTCATGACGACCCCTGTAAAGCTGCTTTGTGTATGTGAACTTTAGACAAAAGTCATGTTCACTTGTTGACCCTTGTAACTCTGAGTGAGGCTAGCCAATACCTAATGTACCTCATGCTCACTGTTGTTGGTGTGAGTCTGTAACTGTGCAGCTCGGCAGCCTGCAGGTTATGGGCTACTTGAAGGGTTCAGTTGTGCTGATTGCGTTTTGGATTTTTGCCAGTTTTGAATTCTAGTTGGTGTTGTTTGCTGTAGTTGTTTTGAGCCCTACTGACCTATTGATACCATCTCTTGTTAGCGCAGTGTATTGTCTTGGTTTTTGGCTGGTATGTTTTTATGCCATTTGATTAAGGAGTCTTTGTTTTAAGTTGTTGTCCAGGTGATTGATTTGGACAGGTTTGTGAAAGATGCTGATACCAGTCAGGGCTCAAGAGTGCAACCAATTTGGTCACAAGTGAGCCCAAATTTTTTAATGGTGTGACTAAAAAAAATCCTAGCTCACACCAATGTGACCAACTTTTTGAGTACAATTTTTTTTTTTTTTTAAAAATCTGCAACTCTGAAAGTCTCTGTGCGGTCAACAACTGACACACATTATGCCCCTATTGTGGTCTAAACCAATCAGAGATAGTCAGAGGCTGGACCCCTTCGTGTGTACATTTGAAAGTGCAGGTGGATAGAGGGAGGTGAGTAGCTTGAATATAGCGATATCAATTCATGAAAACCTGAATCGACTTTTAAATATAACTGTGTATTTTGCCAGAAATGCCAGAATCTCAGGTTAAAGCTCACAAAACTATTTGAACAACCACCAAACAGTAAATGAGAGCAGGTAAATGAATTCCACGTAAACACAGAGTGTGGACCCGACGCATCAGAATCAGCTTTCTCTTTCTCGGCCCGTACACGGACACGCCGTCAGGGCTGAAAGCCGACAGCTCGCTGATTCTGATACGTCTGGTCTGCGCTTTTGTTTACGTCTTTTTTGCGCTAGATTCTGAGCTGGATGTTTTGTCTCTCACCAACCAAAATTCACTGACCAGCAGCAAAATAAGATCAAAACTATGCTTCACATTTGATAAATATTGTATTGAATTCCCTCTGACTTCTGCTGTTTTCCACCATGCTTCCACCATGATAAAATCACACTTCATGCACAGCTCTCTCTCTCTCTCTCTCTGTACTTCAAGAACAGTTTCCCATCTCAAATCTCTGTTTTCAGCATTATTCATTTGCTTATTACCAACCAGTCTACCGTTGTTTACAGCCCTGTTGGCTGCTCTTTTTTCTTTTTTTTGTTTTTACTCAAATGACCTTGGAAAAGAGAGGCAAATTTTTGTTGTTCAATACTGAGGAAATGTAAACTTTTTAAAATTATGTAAAATTGGAGAATATATTTAAGTTTATCTGCTATAAAAAGCATGCAGGCCAGGAAAATCTCCTTTTTCTGTGTTTTATCCTTAGTTACTTTGACACAAAGGCATCTGCTGTGATGCTCACACCTTTGATGAAGTCTCACATGTATCAGTATTGATAAATGACCAGAATTATAATATTTCTGACTATCTGAGGAAAAATTGAATCGAATCGGGACCTTGTGAATCGGAATTGAATGGATTATAGAAATCAGTGATGATACCCAGTCCTAGTGAATAGCCTAGGCCCGACAGAAGTGGATGTAGCTGTGGGTAATAAGAAAAGGGGAAAAGAACTATTGATAAATTTTGTTAAGTTAAGGCCTGATCCATCTGAAATTCATAGCCAGTGCTCTGACACGGAACCATCAATCTGTTTGCTGCTGCCTGCTGCAGCAATAACTTATCTCTCTTGTAGAATTGTGCTCCAAATAAAGAACTTTGTGTTAACAAGATTGCTAGTTAATCATTTACAAATTAATAGTGTCTATACAGATAGCAATCCCCCCCCCCCCCCCCCCCCCCCCCCGCCCCCAAAAAAAGTGCACATGTAAAACCGCGGTGTTAAGCGATGCGGTTGAAAAAATGGGTGCGCCTAAGAAAAAAAGGCACACCAGTGCAACCGTGGCAAAAAGTTAGTCTAGAGCCCTGCCAGTATGGTGTTAGTTTTCAAACAAATTTAAGAAAAGAAGAACTGTGTGCTAAAGTCATGTCTGATTGAACAGGAAATACTGACTGAAGAGTTTGACTTTGCCTGTTGATAAAATGACTCAAACACTGAAGTAGAAAAAAGAGGAACTGAAGAAAGTAAATGGTGCAGTGAAGGCAGCGCGGTGAGAAATCATATGCAAATAGTGTTGTCTCTCTGCACAATAAAGCAACGCAACTAATTTATTGAACCATCTGAACATACATCCCAATCTGCAGAATAGTTCATGCATAATGCAGATCAAGGGCGTAGATTTGGTTTTGGCATTGGTGGGGCTGGATGATTCAACCACCGAACCCTGCCCTATTTCTTTTTCCTTTTTGTCTTTGCTTCTTGATAAAAAAAAAGGAGAAATATACTTTCCTACATATGCTATTCTACATTTAAACCATTTAAAATTACAATTCATACTTTTATATGTGAATTATATAATGTTAAATTACTATTAAACAAATGACTAAGTATTTTAGGCTTCAGTTTACTTCAGCCATATTCCATATAAATCAGGTATCATACAAAAATAAAAATAGCTTCAAATACAGTCATGACAATAAAAGAATATGACTTTAAGGACTTAACAACATTAGTTCAGTCACAGTACACCAACATCTGTTATATTTTGGCACTAAGGGAACACTGAATGACCTGGTGAATTTTTGTCCATAAAACTACTCATCTAAGATTACCACAAAGTAAAAGATCTCTCGGAAAAATTATGAAACATTTTGGGCACACTATTGCCCCGATCAAATCAATGAGCTGGGATTTTTTATTCTAAACATGAGCTACTGTTACAGCAACAGACATGGACTACTGATGTCCCACAACAACTCAGTGTCCAAACACATGCTTTCTCCTCTTGTTAATGTATAGCACGAAATCATCAGTCAGTCACCTGTGAACTTGCCTCTTCACCTCTGTCCAAGCTACAACATGGCAGAGCTGTCTCTATCACCTGATAAATAACAGTGAGACATTTGAAATGCATGCAGTCACACATGTGCTTCAAATACAGTAATGAACCAACAGGTCATTATCCAATTTCACCTGTGATCTTGTATCACCATTACTCTCTGAGCTTTGTGTTGGTTCTTCTGTCACCTGACAAATACATGAAAATAAGAATAAAATGGGTAGCAGCTTCAGTGTGTCTGTCATTTAAAGAAAAATGTGCAAACTGCACTACAAGGTGGAATATTTGCAAAATCATGACTACCTCATTATATTTTGTCTCAAAAATTAACCCTATGAATATGTCAGTACCACTAGGATGAAATTATTGTGTCACCAACATTTTAACGTTAGACATATAATTTTAACAGCCTCTGTAAACTAATATCCTGGCTTGCTCGAGGCTCCCATTTTCTCTGACAGTTTCAATCAAAATTAGAAATGCTACTCTGAGACCGAGATAACTAAAAGTGCTGCCTGTTGTGCAGTTAGTTTCCAAAACACGTACAATTTTAGACTGATGTGGGCCAAAGCCTAACATAGCCTGTAACGTTATTATGACTGACATTTTATGAGTTAACTTGGCTTTAAGTGACTTACAGGTTTATTTGAAAAATGCTTTCTTATATCCAGGTTCTTCCTTTTTGCTGCCATCCTCCCCTCCTCCTTGCAGGTCCTGGCAGCGCAGGCTTGCCAGGTGTTGTGCCAAAAATTGATTGCCGGCCAAAAACTGATTTCCAATGTTTCCGTGTATTTTTTACATGTAATATCTTTATGTATGTAAATAGAACGGTGAACAGCGTTTATAAAGGGGTT